GTTACATGTTTGGCGGTCATTTTGGTACACATGCCAGGCCTACACTAATTAATGCAATCAGTGTTTTAGGTTTAAGAACACTAAATCATATGAATGTCAGAATCTGGGCCTTCATCCTAGAATATACAAGAGGGACTAGTAGAAAGGGAGGGAAAGCAGGAAGAAATTATAATGTGAATAACTCCAACCATTTACTGCATATGCAACCATGCGTTGAACCTTGTTTTAAACACATTACACATACGGTCTCATTTAATTTCATTTCCTGTAACAACTTTCGAAAACAGTACTATTATTATCCCCATTATTCAGATGTGGAAACTGAGGCAAGAGGTGTAATACTCAGGAAACCACGATTCAGATCAGTTGATTCCATAGCCCAGGCTCTGGTTGAGTAACCACTACTGCATACTAGGCATTTTCTACAATTTTATCTTCACAACACCTTGCAAAATAGGCTTTATTATCCCCATTTTAAAGATGAGTAAGCTTTAAGGTTCCTCAAAGATAAAAAGCTTATACAACTAGACAGATTCAGGCCAAGGTCGTATTTGGCTCTCAAGCTCATTCTCTTTCTGTCAGATCCTTAAGGTCAGAATCTAGATAGAGTGGTGAGGTCACTGGGACTCAGTTTACCTCCACTTCTGGGCCCCAGGAGTCTCGGGGGTTGACCTGTTAGCTCTGTGACCATGGAACCACTATAGTCATCATGCTTTGTCAGCTTTGGAGATACTGGGGTCTCCACCCCATAGTGTTCACCAGATTCCCCCGGCACGTCATCAAGGCCGTTTGTTCACACTGATAACAAACTGGCAAGGCCTGAAGTATTAGTCAGCCCATCCTTGGCCACAGCCTAACTACAGGGAGTATTTCCTCAGTCGATGAGAGATCAGTCATGTTCAGGCCTCAGTGGAGAATGGAAACAAGTGGCATAGAGGCTCATTCATTTAGTGAATAAAGGGTTTACGCACAGCTGGAGTCATAGTCTAGTCCACACCTCTGTCTTGGAAATTCCTAAAGTCATAGAGGACTACCAGGAATCCTATTTTTATAAAGACCTCCTGATTCTCTGAGGAAAAAAATTCTCTGGGCACGTCAGGGCCGACTGGGACACAAGGACTGACTTGAACAAAGGTGGAGAGAAGGCATGACTCCTGAGTGGAAATGCAGAGTGGAGGCCAGCCATTTCTGTCTGTCTTCATACCTGGTGTCTTAACCTTGATGACCCACCCCTCTCTTGGCCCCTCCAGAGCTGGTTGACACATCAAGCCGTTCCTCAAGACCAAGCCCCATCCTTTCTCCCCTCCTGACTTAATCTGAGGACTACTACTGCTCTGACGAAACGGGAGAAAGTGGTCAGTGCTGGGGGCTCACGGTGGGACAGCGCAGCGGCATCATGTAGCCCCCGACCTATGATGTGAACCTGAAGGGCCAAGGCCACCAAGGGGCCAGAGAGCCAGCGTCTCACATTCATGCAGACGATCAGCAGACGTTTGTGGTTGAGAAAGGACTGGGGCCCCTGGAGGAGCTGGAGCTCACCTCCTCCTCCCCTCCACGCCTGCGGTGTGGAGCCAGCCAGGCCACAGCGGGGACTGCAGGTCCACGGTGGGAGCTGACTGTGGGGCCTCGGGGAGTGAGCCCATCACATTCTCCCGGGTCCCCACAGCAGCGGGCGTGGGTGGTCCCAGAGCCCTGGGAGGGGCAGCAGGGGAGGGTGCCCGGAAGCTCATATTTTCCACACTGAGAATTGGAAGATTACACAGGGGTGTGGGAGGGTCCCCCCCACACTCCTTCTGGTCATGCCCATCCCTTCTGTAGATGGCAGACAGAGGGGGTCTTGGATAAATACCTGCCTGACCATGTCACCCTGCTTTGATTCTCAGTCACTCTAGGCCTGGGACCAGACTCATTACTGTGGCCTACAGGACTCTTGCCTAACCCTGTAAACCCATTCATTTCACTGTGCCACCCCCGCTAGACTCTATGGAGCTCAAAAAGTGATCATTGGATGTCTCTAGTCATGAAATTAAAAGACACTTACTCCTTGGAAGGAAAGTTATGACCAACCTAGATAGCATGTTAAAAAGCAGAGACATTACTTTGCCAACAAAGGTCCGTCTGGTCAAGGCTATGGTTTTTCCAGTGGTCATGTATGGATGTGAGAGTTGGACTGTGAAGAAAGCTGAGCATCAAAGAATTGATGCTTTTGAACTGTGGTGTTGGAAAAGACTCTTGAGAGTCCCTTGGACTGAAAGGAGATCCAAGCAGTCCATCCTAAAGGAGATCAGTCCTGGGTGTTCATTGGAAAGACTGATGCTGAAGCTGAAACTCCAATACTTTGGCCACCTGATGCAAAGAGTTGACTCATTGGAAAAGAGCCTGATGCTGGGAGGGATTGGGGGCAGGAGGAGAAAGGGATGACAGAGGATGAGATGGCTGGATGGCATCACCAATTCGATCGACATGAATTTAAGTAAGCTCTGGGAGTTGGTGATGGACAGGGAGGCCTGGCGTGCTGTGATTCATGGGGTCGCAAAGAGTTGGACACGACTGAGCAACTGAACTGAAACCCCATGAGGACAAACTTCACATCTTTTCACTCATCGTTTTATACTGCACTTAGCCTATTTGTCTGACATAGATGGTACCCGATCAATGTTGGTTGGTTGGTTGAATGTATGTGCACCAGTTGCTCAATTGTGTCCAACTCTATTTCCCCATGGACTGCAGCCTACCAGACTCCTCTGTCCATGGGATTCTCCAGGCAGCAATACTGGAGTAGGTTGCTCGCGTGTGCTCCTGCAAGGGATCTTCCCGACCCAGGGATCAAACTCGTGTCTCCTACATCTCCTTCATTTGCAGATGAGTTCTTTGCCACTAGTGCCAGCAGGGAGCCCCTGGTTGGTTGAATAACTGAATGTAAAGCCAATATTCTAGGAACTAAGGTGGAGCAAATCATTTCTGTGATTGCAGCCTGAGCCCCTTATTTTCCCCATGGTTGGGATGAGACCGAGAGACAGGGTACAAATCGGGCCCTGATGTGAAAATTTAATAAGAAGGACTTCCATCAGAGTCTCTTGAACAGACATGCCAACAAAAGCAGATTTTACTGATTCAAATAGTTTTTTAGAAAGGGGTGTGAAATAGATTTAAAAAATGAACATAAGAAATGAAATTTCGCTAAGTATGGAGCCTTAAAATGACTCAGAGGAACACCACCAATTTGATTTCTCAGTTCTCTTCCTTTTGAAGGGATGGTACAAGCCAGGCTCAGAAAAATGGGGTGGGCATCCTGAGAGAAATGTTTGTCCTGCTGCCAGCAGGATGGCAGTATGTCTACAGGAGGCTTGTGAGGCCACCTTGGTCCAGGCTCACTGCCAGCAGCATCAGGCCCCAACCCTCCGTGGAGGAGAAATTTCTCTCACTTCTGATAAGACTGGATACGTGGCAGTGTTCATTTTGGTTCTTTCCTTATGATGGTAGTTTTCCCAGCATAGTTTCGCTCAGGAGGGACTTTGAACATGGCCTAACCTGGGGGGCATAAGGAAGGCCAGGACACCAGGTGAGTCAGAACTGATGAGGCTCAGTTACGCACAACTCAAGAGGCCCCTTTGTTAATAAGGAAGTAGTTCCCAGATAACAAAGGGGGAAGGCTGGCGTGGAATTTAACATGGCAGTGATAAAGAACTCATAGCACACGTGAACTGAGCCAATCCTGTGTTCATTACTCAAGCAAACTCATAAATTCAAAACCATCTCGTGAACTGAGCCAATCCTGTGTTCATTGCTCAAGCAAACTCATCAATTCAAAACCATCTTTTAACTGTAGAACTTAAAAGATGAAGTGTGAGAGATGCCGTTTACAAGGAAGCAGGCTTCGGCTGGGTTGCCCAGTGCTTGTATGCTACTGGTGATGTTAGCTGGCCTTTGCTTGGGTACTCGGCCCTGCAGATGGACAACTGTTACATAAAAGACCTGTGGTGGAAACCCTAGATGTTGCATGATAGGTTGGAAGGTTTAACACAGATTCAAATGAGTTTTGCTGTTGACAGAACTCACTCTTAACACAGGAGTAGGTGGTTTAATTTCAACACAGGATTTTTCACATGTATTATCTTCAGCTCCTACTGTCTCCCATTTACTAAGAAATTCTGCCATCCAAAAATGAGTTTGTCTTGAATGTTTCCACTTTTTTAGAGTTGATATCAGTTACCCACGAGGGAATTACTCTGTTTTGAAGCTTAACCACTGTAGTTTATTTGGGGGGAAACAAATAGAATGAGAGTGAGCCGGTGAAAAATAAATACATAAATCAACACATTAGAAGAGGGAACTGTTTAAATTACACAGTAGCCTGTGGCTGCCAAATTCTGTTTACTGGGGCGGGGAGACCCTGGGAGTCCCATCTCACGAGATAGGGCTGCTGTGGCGGAGACAGAAATCAAGCAGAATGCAGTGGTTGTAAACACCAGTAGCACAGAGTTGGGCTTCTCACCTGGATGCTCAGGAGAATCACATGGGCAGCTCTTAAATTCACAGGACTCAAACTCTGTCCCCCCCAGAGATTCAGATGTCCTTCTTCTGGGGTAAGACAGCAGCATTATTCAAAACCTTCCCAGGTGATTCCACTGTGAGCTAAACCTGGAAACTTGGGCATCCCTGGGCTAAGAATGGAGGCTGCAGGTGAGGAAGGTGAAGGGAGCACACGCAGCGGGGGCACAGACGCCCCGCTCAGCTCAGAAACCGACAGAACTGCAAACCACCGTAACCGTTCAATTTCTCTCCAAGCTACTTATGTAACGTCAAGCATTTGTGGAGCAAGTGTACTTATCCCATGTTTCCACTTTTGGACGATGCCTCTAAATACCGGATGCAATTTTAACTGCTAAGCTTACATTAAGTCCATTTCTTAATAGCCGTATTTTGTATTATCCACAGCCTCTTCCCCCCCTCGCCCTAGTGCGTTGAGAGGCGACCCTAGCACAATTCCATTCACTTACTTTGATTCCTTGTAATCCATAGCCAGGGGAGCCAGGAGGGCCAGGCAAGCCTTTCTGCCCAATGTCACCCTATTAGAAGACACAGAGGTATCGGAGAGAAGGGTAAGGAGATTTAGAAACATTCAACAGGTTACTGCTCTTAGCTTCAATCTCACTTCAGTCTTTCCATATTGATTAAAGCGGGGTTCTTCCAAAAATTTTAAACCACACAATCCTTTCAAACATTTTTACATGTAATCCAGCTATAAAGCGATAAGGCAGAACTGCTGGACGGAAGCAGAAATGTTGGCCCCATAGCCTTGCCTGCTTGGGCTCCTCCTGCTGCCCATAAACACCAGGCGTTCAAACACGGCTCACACGTAATTCTAGGCAGCCTTTGTTCTGTTGCACCATTTCAATACAGCATATTAATTTATGGGGGTTGAAGTTAAAGATTCAGCAGGTTTCCTTGCTGGCTCAGTGGTAAAGAGTCTGCCTGCCAATGCAGGAAGACCCCTGGATCAGGAAGAAGCCCTGGAAAAGGAATGGCAACCCGCTCCAGTATCCTTGCCTGGAGAATCCCATGGACAAAGGAGCCTGGCAGGCTATACAGTCCATGGGGTCACAAAAAGTTGGACACGACTGAGTGACTATCACTTTCACTTTACTATGTTGCACAATTTCAATATAGCACGTTAATTCACAGAGTTTGCAGTTAAAGACTCAGCACCTATTGACATGGATCAGAGTTGAATTTTTAAGAAAATATGTAAGTGAAGCAAAAAATGTCAGTTCCCATTATATGTTCCTTACAGCATAAGTTGACCCCATGTTTCTTGAGGAGAGAGTTCTGTGGTCAAGTAAGATTGGGAAATGTTTACACCATGGGTGTGCCTCTCCTTATAGAGCCCTGGAGCAGGTGAATATTAAAGTAATATTAATCGATATTAATAATATTAAAATTACTTAATTTTAATTTAATTAATAAAATTAATAATTTTAAATAATTAATTAATATTAATATTAAAGGGGCTTTAATATTAAAGCCTCTAAGAAATTCCACATAGAAAGATTAGTTTAACTTTGTTTATCCCAGAAGTTCCCTAATTAGCATTTTGGTGAAACAAACTTTCAGGAATCCTGAGTTAATCAAAGTTACTGTGTAGGTTAGTCTTTTCCTTTCCACTATGGGAAAAATTACTTTACTTTTTTCTAATTACAAGAAGAACTTATTGGGGATAAAGTAAAAATAATAGTGAAAATTACAATGAAAAAAAAAATCAACCCATCATTCCATCACCCAGTGATAACAACTATTAACATCTCAGAGGGATCTCCATCCATTTAAAGGGATCTGTATGGTGAAGAAATAGCCCACTGTCACAATGGAGTTGATGGACAGAAAAAGGATAAACTAAGAATCTTGGTAATTCTAGGATCCTCAGTCAAATCTTTGATTCACAAAGCTCTCTCTCTTTCCTCTCTGAAAATAGGATGCTAATTCACTTTTGTGCATTTTGGCTCTGAATATACCTGTCTGTAGTTTGAATTTGTGATGGGTGGCTCACTGAAACCTGTTTTCCCTATGAATACGCCTGATATTTCTTTGTTATTGTTAAGTCATTAAATCGTGTCCAACTCTTTGCAACCCTGTGGACTGTAGCCCACCAGGCTCCTCTGTCCATGGGATTTCCCAGGCAAGAACACTGGAGTGGGTTGCCATTCTCTTCTCCAGGGGATCGTCATGACCCAGGGATCAAACCCGTGTCTCCTGCAATGGCAGGCAGATTCTTTACTGCTGAGCTACCTGGGAAGTGGTATTTCCTTACCTGCCTCTCTGAACAAATCAAAGGAATATTTGTTGAGCAAATGAATGAGCAATTAAAACAGAGCTCCTCAACCCCAGCATAATTAACGTTTTGAGCTGGATGATTCTTCACTATGGAAGGCTGTCCTGTGCATCCCAGGCGTCAACCCACTAGATACCAGGAGCCCTCCTTCCCCAGCGGGACTAGACGCCCAGAATGATTCCAGACACTGCCAAAGGTCCCCCTGGTGGAGAGGGGAGGACAAAATCCCCCTCATTGAAAAACACTGGATTAAAGGAATAGAAGGATAAATAATCACCAAACTGGAGGTGACAAAAGGAAGAGAAGTAGAGAGAGAGAGCAAAGGGAGCCAAAGGAAGTTCCTCTCGGCTTCTATGGGGACGACAAATTAGACTCCTGCGCTGGGGCCCTGACGGAGTAGACTGCGCACAGGACACAACAGATCCATCACCTGTTACAAGCTGACCTGAGGCCCCTCTGGCCAAAGTAAACACGTGCTTCTTAATGTTAGCCCCGCCTCTAAGGAACCCGGGAATATTTTGAGCACTTTGCAATCACTTTTTAAAGAGGCATTAACTTTCTAATTTCTTTGGGAGGAAGCAAATGACTTTATATACTTAAATGTTCTATTTTACTGAAAGTTCACATGATAATGAACATGTAAGGCTCTTCATCAGTATCAAGAAAAAATAAGTCAACATGATGTGAGCACTTCCTGTGCATTTAATGTTCCCTTGGTCATCTGGATGGTACCTGACCCTCACCCAGAGCACAGACCTGCGGACTCACCTTTGGCCCTGGGATTCCTATGCCCCGAGGCCCAGGGGGGCCTGGAGGACCTCTGACGCCAGGATCTCCCTGAAAAAACACAATGAATGACAAGTTGTTGATGTAGGAAAATGCTGTGTACCATATTTCATGTAAAATTTCATATGACAATATTTCCTATGAATTTTCATATTCAGAAATACACTTTAAAATCCCAAACCCTTGAATTTGACTAAGATAATAATCTTTTCTTCCAGATCATTTTTCTATATTTGATCAACAGAGTGTTATCTCTCTTTGTTTTCATTTCTTATTGCCATTTATCAAACCAACTGATGGGGGTTCATTTCAAAGCAATCAAGTTAATTAGTTTCTTGGCAACCTTAATATATACTTTTTGGAGCTCGCTTCTTGGGATTTTGGAGAAGTAATTACTGCCATTATGAAGACAGGGAGAAAGAAGAGACAAGAATAATAATTTTTTAAAGAGCATTAAAAGTTATAACCTTTCTGAACTAGTTCTTACATTTTTATGCAACAGTGATTATGCTACTTGGGCTCAAGATTGGCTTTAGGACACTCCTTCCTCTAGAGTGGTTGTGAGCACACAGTGGGTTCTCTCAAGGTTTCAGATTCATCAAAGCATGACAGTTTCATAATAGGCAACCACCACCAGAAATAGGCTTCCCTGGTGCCTCAGTGGTAAAGGATCTGCCCGCCAGTGGAGCAGACCTGGGTTCAGTCTCTGGGTCGGGAAGATCTCCTGGAGGAGGACATGGCAACCCACTCCACTATTCTTGCCTGGGAAATCCCACAGAGGAGCCTGGCGGGCTACAGTCCATGGGGTTCGCAAAGAGTCAGACACGACTTAGCAACTAAACAGCAACAACAATCACCAGAAAGGTGGTGGGGTCTGACTGGGGTGGGGCAGGTGGTTAGATCTATTTGAGGTGTGAATAAGGGAAGAGGAACAGAAACGATGACCTCTTCATTAATCACTCTCAGTGTCCCCAATAGTGTGTTCTGCATGTTTTTATATGATACTTGGTATAACTTAGTATTCACAAAAATCTTTCTGACAACTAACTTCCCTAACTTCTCTGAACCTTCGTAAATTCATCAGACACATAGAAAATCGTATCTACCTTTCATGGAAATGACAATGAAGGCAGACACAAAATGTCGTGCTTCTATCATCTTGTCTAGCATACAACAGGCACTTGGTAATTGATAACTCCCCACCCCACCTGTTATTTTTAAAGAAGGAACTGAAGTTTGCCCAAAGCTGCACGGCTATTGTGAGGCAGGGCTGGGAGGATGTGGAGAAACAGAACCCGTGTTTGCTGCTGGTACAGCTGCTTTGGAAAATAGTTTGGCAGGTTCTTTAAAAGTTCAACATAATTTTACCATTTGATCTAGTAATCTCACTCCGAGGCATATACCCAAAGAAAGTGAAAACATATGTCTATACAGAGACTTAACATATGAATGCTCTTAGCAGAATTATTCATAGTAGCCCCAAACTGGGAACAACCAGAATGTCCATCAACTGGATAGACAAAATGTGATATATTCAGCAGTTAAAAGGAATGAACAATAGCTGCACACAACAATATAGATGAGCCTCAAAAACTATTCTTAATGAAAGAATTCAAATACGTGAGACTACATATTGTTTGAGTCCATGTATATGAAATGTCCAGAAAAGGCATATCTATGGAGACAGAAAGTAAGTCAGTGGTTTCCTGGGGCCAAGAATAGGAGCATGGAAGGAGGATTAACTATAAATGGACATGAGAGATCTTATTGGGGCATGAAGATGTCCTAAAACTGATTTGTGATGATGGCTATATAACTTGGTAAATGTACTAAAAAAATCACTCAATCATACGCTTAAAGTAGGTGAATCCTGTGACATATAAAATATGCCTCAATAAAGTTATAAAGAAAGAAAGCCTAGAACCAATCTTTTAACCTAGACTCCCAAGCTCTTTGCCCTAGGTTCTGTTTTGTCCACGTCCTAATTAGGAGCTAAATAACCAGCTTTTCAACAATTCAAAAATCACAGATTATAAGAAATGATTGCATTGTTTATCTAGAAAAACATCCCATCTTTTATTTAGCGTCACTTTCTACTTACAAACCTTAAAACATTTCTATAGAAAACAAGGCCTAAAAAAGGGGAAAACCTTTAAACTTTATTACTGAGTTAGTTCTTTTATTCCCTACTTTTTAATTACAGTTTTCCCTTTTGCTTGCAGGCAACATTTATGATTCTGGTCTTCTACCTCCATCTCTTCCATGTAGTCCTTAGCTGCTTTTGAGACCACAGATACTAGTTCTCTCTTTAATACCTCTCTGCTTCTGATTCCCAACTTTTAATGACCCGAAGTTTCTCTGAATTTAAATGATCATGCCTGTCATCAAGAGCTCCAAGTAGAGAATATGACCTTGTCCTATATTATACACATTTCTATTATCTCTTTTTCTTGTGTACCTCCGAAATACCTTTAAAAGGGATATCTATAAATTCACCAAGTAAGGGTCTCCAGTGACACCTGACCAGTTCACACACTTGCTCCTTTTTCTCTTCTATTCAGCTCCCATGACTTTCACCCTTTAGGAACATCTGCTGGTTAAATGCAATAGAACAGCTGCCCCTGAGAGCACCTTATTGCTCTCTGTATGTCTGAATCTTAGCCAGGGAGCTTTAACAATGTGATCCATGTCATCTGTGGTACTCCAGTGTTAACCTCAAACAAGCTGTCCATCTTCTTTTCTGTATAACTGTTGACATATAGCCATGTTTTATCTATCAGAGTAGTCTTTTGTAATCTCTTGATCTATGTAAATATACTTGATATATGCTTTTATGAATCTGATAAACTAAATCAAGTCTTAACACATTCTGTAGGTATTAGAGTTGGTCAGTAACATATTTTAGGGTAGTTCCTTGGTGTTCATGGACCAAATTCTCAATAGATGGGAATAACAAGCCCTTAATGAGCTGTGTAAATCTACATAGACCATATCTCTCTACTCTGGTGGGGTCTTAAAAATGTAATCTGTCTTTTGTTCCACAGCATCTGTCCATGCTAGCCTACAACAGCAGGTGAAAGTGCTTAAGAGGACTATGGTCAGGACTCATTTCACTCCTGGAGAGCCCCAAAGGTACCCAAGAGGTGCATTTACTATGATATTTTTAGATATGTAGTTTTACTGTCGGTGGATAGAGTGACATCCACAAGTAAGATGACTTACAACAGGTACTTGCAGAACTGGCCTTGGCTTCCCACGCAGGAGCTGAGGTTATTGGAGCCTGCAGAGGGAGCTCTTGCATTAGGAGATAATGAACAGTCCTGAGCTAATCCCGGAGTTGCCATTTGTAACTACAGCCATCAATTTCATAAATCTTACAAGTCCTACCCCTCCCTTGTCATCTCCACTCCCTCAAAAAAGAATAACTATTTAGAATGTCTTCAGCTTCATCTTGGCCCACAAAAGGATTCTAGATGGGAGATACTCCTTTTAATTTCATAGAAAATGGCCAAATTTAGGACTTTCTGCAGTGCTTCCAAGGGTGAACTTAGCAAATGATTTAGTAAAGGTTTCACCTAGACCATAACCTTGCAGAGTGGTTCATTTCAACCGCTTTAAAATCATGCATAATTTTATGATGGTCCTAGTAGTCATTCATTAAACCTTTTACATTTTAAAAGAAAGAAAAAGAAGGCAAAGGCACTATCGCATGCATTTTCCCTTTGGCAAATATTTTCTTTGGTTAATATTAAAACAATTATAGTTACTTTTTAATAAAATATATAATAATTAAAATTTATTTTTCTCATGTGTCATGTGCTTTTTATTCAATATCTTATCTGAACATCATTATTGTATTCCACACATAAGGAAACTGAGGCTAAAGAGAACATAGATTTTGCCAAAAACCATACAGCTGGAAGCAATTCCAACCCAGGTCTGACTCCAGAGTCCATCCCCTAAATGATGGTGACTAGAGCCAGAGGCCAGAGAAGGTAATGGCACCCCACTCCAGTATTCTTGCCTGGAGAATCCCGTGGACGGAGGAGCCTGGTGGGCTACAGTCCATGGGGTCGCTAAGAGTCAGACATGACTGAGCGAATTTACTTTCACTTTTCACTTTCATGCATTGGAGAAGGAAATGGCAACCCTCTCCAGTGTTCTTGCCTGGAGAATCCCAGGGACAGAGGAGCCTGTTGGGCTGCCATCTATGGGGTCGCACAGAGTCGGACACGACTGATGTGACTTAGCAGCAGCAGAGCCAGAGGCAATGTGCTGACTTCTCCCCAGACCTGTTTCCAGCTGCTATCTAATGCAAAGACCATGGCTATGTGGCTGTGAAAGTCCTTTGCCTATACTGAGTCAATCATACTCTCTCAAAAAGAAGAAAAAACATCTCGATTTTAAGATTTCCAAGAGGTCCACACAGCCCACACAAGCACCCAGCTGTCTCAGGCATCCCTTTCCCTCACCCTGTTTTGCCATCCCTCAGTTTGTGGTTTTCCCCAGTATTTCAATTGGTCTCTTCCCAGATCCCCTACTTACACAAACGCTTCCTCTCTTTTTCTATACTGCAATACACTTCATTTGGCACAGTATGTGCACTCGGACTAGTACTATTTCCACTAATACTTTAGTGTGTTAGAACTCATAAAAACATCTTATAGACATGATTCCATTCACTTTGCAGAATAACCCTGTGAACTAGGCTTATATTCCCAAGTGACAGATGAGGAGGCTAAGTCTAAGGCAGATTAAATGACTTGCTAAGGTCACAGAGTTCATAAGTGGCAAGGATTTCATGTGGGACAGTGATAAGGAGACATCTGTTATATCTTTTATGTTCTATAGGATTTAAGTACAATATCTGAGAGTTAGAGACAGTCTTAGAGACAAAACAGTCCATTAGACTGTCTCCACCTTCACATATTAATAAAGCTCTAATCACCATCTCTCCCTTTGTGCCAATTTAATTCTCTGTCACTCTTTGAGAGGCTGTGGAAGTAGGTTGCAGTTGTTCTTAAAGTGATTCCATGCTTTTTTACTTTGGG